GGGGGGTTAGGGGTCCCTGGGGGGGTTAGGGGTCCCTGGGGGGGTTAGGGGTCCCTGGGGGGGGTTATAAATCCTCGTCCAATTCCCCTCTCTGCCAGCAGCCAAACCCAGGATTCGGCATGTTGGGCGGAGCTCCCATGGATCTGGTGGGCAATCTGAGAGGCCGTGGGAGAGGTGGGCGTGGCAGGGGAAGAGGAAGAGGGTTCAACAATGCAGGTGGCTACCAAGGTAATAACAAGCATAGTATTTATAAAGAACCGCTTATGAATTATAGTTCAGAATACTAATAAACACCTATATGCTCACTGTATAATGGTGAACCTCTTCAGTACATGTGATGGTTAAGCCCAGTATAAATGTCACTTATCCAATTATGTCTACAGGTGGTTTTGGGTCTTATGGCTACGGAAACGGTGCCAACTCTGGATACAGTGAGTGTTCTCCACTACTTTTCCTTATTTGAAATGTGCATCATTGTCCATGCCTCGGGGTACTTACGGGTCTCCCTCAGTGTGTGCAGGGACATCTGTCAGTGGAACGCCTTCGGGCCCCCTCTGTAACTGAGCTGCCGGATGTGCCCAGAGTCCCCTGAAAGGTGACACTGATGAGGTCACCATGCCTTAAGTGAAACCACATGGTCTCACAATGCTTACTATATGTATGGAAGAACGCGAACGTGTTTGTTCTAAATTACCGAATGCGGTTACCCATAATGCCTTTAGAGGGGGGACCGCTCTGGGTGCCTCAGCATCTGGTCTGGCTAACTGCCGAGCTGGTTTACAGGGGGGGGGGGGGCTTGGACCCCCTGATGACTTCCAACTGCCAGTTAGTGGAATTTCTCTGTATTGGAGACTCTGCTTTCTAAGCAAAGAGCAGAGTAGTGTCTGGCTGACTCTGGACGTGCCCCTCCTCCCCCCAGACTTGTGTAACACTTTTAAATTTCTCTGCTTTCAGCCGCAGGACTCTGTTTTATCTCCCCCGGCCCCATCCTGAAATCCCAAAAATCCCCTCTTAATATCCTGTTCTGAGGAAAAGACCTAGAGGGCGACAGGAGCAGAGAAATCTAAAAATATTTTTTTTTTAAAAAGTGAAAAACAAGGCCATTACAGCTGCCAAACTGAGAAATGGCGCCTCTTGTGGCGAGTTATCTAATATGTGTTCTCTGCTCTTTGTCTCTCACTCTAGGTGACTTTGTCTCAGACTGCTATGGCTACCATGATTTTGCATCCTAGATCATCCAGTCTACTCTTTTTTAAAAAAAAAATTCTGTAGATCATCTTTGTAAACTAAAACGAACTTCCCGCCTCGTTATAAACCGCCCCCCCCCCCCCCCATGTTCCCCCGGATGCCATGTCCCATCAAGAGCATCTGTCTCCTGCGTCTCTCCTGTAATGGATCCCTACCACACTACCGGATTTGGCAAAACAAAAACAAAAAAAAACTGTTGTTGACAAACTTGATTTTTTTTCCCCTGCTGGATCGAGCTGTGTAGGGATGGAAAGAGAAGCAGTCGGGTTTGATCGTTATAATTGAGACTTTGCAGGTGAATGGTTTGCTTAAATCATGGTATCAGTGTTGAGGTGCCTTTTTTGTGGCTGTACATTCCGACTTGCGCTCGTAAATAAGACATCAAGGCGACTTTCCTATCGAAGCCGACGTGCTCATGCACCTCGAAGCACATAGAAATTATTTCCCTTTTGCATCTTAATTTTTTTTTTTTTCCATAGTGATGCTGCTGAAACTTAAATATACCGTTGTTGTTGTTTTTTGGTCGGAGATATCTCTTGTTTTAATAAACGTTTGGCCCATGGAAGTGGGAGCATTCACCAGATCAGTTTCCAATGTTATGCGTAAGAGATCCCAATTTCCTCTGAGGGCTTAAGACAATTGCCAGTAAAGTGTAGGTAGACCTGTATCACCGAATGACTGGTGTCAGAACCTTCGTACAGGGCTCAGTAAAAGACAGTTTGGCCTCAAGGATGTACTCTGTGATTGAGATGCAAACGTTGTCCCATCCTAGATTACTACGACAACGGTGGGGCAAGCGATGCAGAAGGGGGCTCTGGAGCAATGGGCTTGCCTGGCCCCTCGGCGAGCGGAGATGGGGGGGGGTTCGGCGCTTTCTACCCCGGCGACACCGTCTACTCCGGCCCTCCTCCTTCCGCTGCCAAGCCCATTGGCAACAAGCCCCCCCCGCGGGGGGGTAAACAGCCCTACGCTGGGGCTTTGGGAGCTGCTGGTGGGGTGTCGGGGGGCTACCAGGGCACCCCTCCCTCAGTGCAAGGTGTTTACAATCCATATAGCCAGAACTTTGGACAGAACAAGAAGAACTTCAGCCAGCATCATGGAGCAGGTGGCTTCTCCGGCTACAGCACCGCTTACCCCAGTCAGGTGACTGGGGGAGGGGGCAGCCAGGAATACGGCTATGAAGGTGAGGGACCAGGCGGGCCCCGGTCATCCCGTTATCAGCCGTAGATCTAATGCCTTAAACGTGGCCCACTGAACCACAATACGCAGGTTTACTTTAAAGCAGCCCTTGTCGGCCATATAACTGGTCCTAATGAAGAATATCTTAGGTTAGCAAAAGGCACTGGGATTCTGAATAAGTGTAGAGTCTTGGGAAGAGTGTCTATTCTTTATTTTCCTGTTACTGCCATCCCATCTGGTGACATGCATGACGGGTGAGTAGAACGTTATGGAAACGGGAAGTAGTTAGTTAAGAGATTATGGTTATTGTTGACCAGGCTTGCTCAGCGAGTCGAAGGGGGAGTTCTCTGTGGGATTTCATTTTCAGGTCTACATTTGGAGTATTATCTCGATATCGTAAGGGAGGCCTGGGAGTCTGTGTGAGTCTCGTCCCAGTAGTGTGGGATCGTTCTAGACAGATTCTAAGTTTCCTCCCATACTCCAGAAAACATGCAGTTAGGAGACTTGGTATTTCTAAATTGCCCTTGTGTGTGTGCCCTGCATTGGACTGGCATATGATTCAGCATGCCCCCTGCTTCTTGCCCTTTGCTGCATGGGATGACCCCCCCCCCCCCCCCAACCTCGTGACCCTGTCCAGGATAAGGGATGGATTTCAGTAAAAGGGGCCTCCTTCCATCCATTCGACCTCACTCACAGCCTGTGTCCTTCCGTTTCCTGCTCACAGGTTACGGCGGCCAGTCAAACTTCGGCTCACAAGGCGGCACGAGCCAAGGCTACGGCGGAGGCCCGGGGTCCTTGCACGGCCAAGTGGGCTTCGGCAGAGGGGAGCCCAGCCTCGGCTACCAGTACAGATAGTCTGCACCTCCAGGCTTCCTGAGCCTGATTTTCCAAAGCAGAAACCAGCTCACTCATATTTCTAGCTGTTTCCTTCCCGTTGGTACACATTTTAGTGTGGCTTACACTGTTTGGTTTGTACTTGGTCCCGTTATTCTTGCGCTCGTCCGTTTCCGGCTGCTCCAAGAATGCAAACCCTGTGGTGTTCAGATGCTAATGCCTTAGCTACTCAAAAGCCAGCCAGCGTAAGATCCTAGTCTGGGCCAAATCGAGCTGTGTATTGTCACTTTGACCTGCTCCAACATTGAGGTGTCCACGTGCTACGCTGTCCACTGCCACACTCCAGGACTGGGGGGTCCCGTCAGGCTCTGATGGCAGGATGAAGCGGATGAGCTCGTCACCAATCTCACCTGCCCATGGATTTTTTTGTTTTTCGTTACTTTTTAAATAAGGGTTAAAACACCACGGGTCTTGTGAGCTGCTTTCCGTGCGACCTCTGATGCCTCTATATCACGTCTGGTCTTTTTTTTTTCGACAATTAGAAATCGGGACTGTTCAGGCCCTCCCCCACTCACCAAAGTACTGTCTATATCTTTTTGTTTTAACATCTTCCTGTGCTCTAATCGCTATTTTTGAATGGTGTTGATTGGGAATGGAAAGGCTGTAATTTTGTGGCATATTTTTGGTTTTTCAAGGAGGTGTTTTGTTTTTCAAAACAGCGTGTATCACTTGTATGACCAATAAAGGATTTTTATTTTGGAAGAATGAAAGTTGGTTTTCTTGTATATAATGACAAATTAGTCTTGAGTAATGAACGTCTCTTTTGCGTGAGACTGTACCTCACTGAAGATTTTTACAAAGCTGTATTTCTCCATTGTAAAGTGTACTGTTAGTTAAACTTGATGCAGATACAGACAAGCAGATGAGGTTGGTGACAATAACCGCCACTATGTGGGCTACAAAGGTTTTACCCAAACAGTTTTCTTTGTCTTAGACAGACCAGGCAAAGAATGATAACCTTAAGCTACTAGTTATGTACTTTAAATTCCTACCCTGAGACTGGGGAAGTTGGGAAAAGTGGTAACATTATGCTGGATATATGATGCCATTTTTCTGGCAGACCTTAAATTGGTTTTTATGGGACAAATGCTAACAACCGAGTGTGTGTGTGAGATCTGGACAAAAGGCTCACCTTACTAGAAAACCTTCACATTGGGGAGATAAAAGGCTTTATTGCTTCAGACCACGAGCGACCCTCCAGCTGCTCATGGGCTTCGTGCGTGCGCTCAGATCGATAACGCTGGTCTACAAGGTTTTTCTTTTTCCTTTAGAATTTTGGATGTATCAGATTTTGTGATGCTGATCATTGAAATAACTTCAGAATTGTCACGTCAGATAAGTTTTTTTTTGTTTTTTTTTTGCGGAACGGCCAATTTTTTAATTGTAAAATGTACAAAACACTGGCCAACAACGATTTTTCCCCCCACGAAACCATTAAGGTGTCATTTACTTTTTAATGCTGATTTAAGAAATGCGATCAGAATTTTGCAGATTTTCAGTATGATTTTTAGGCTAATTGTCAGTGTATAATTCTGTATTAAGGATTTACTGGCATATTTAAGAGTTTAGGCAAAGATGGAAATAAAATATTTCTGAACGTTTAAATACTTTACATAAAGGCGCAAAGTACTGTAAGTCTCTTTTGCCAGAGATTACATACTGAAACATGTTCAGACATGTTGAGACCGGATCCTGCTGTGTCTTTGATATGGAAAAACGATATCAAAGCAAATGGAGTCCCAGTATGCTTGCTGACTTCTGCTGGACCCTTAAGGGGAATGTTCCTGAGGCCAAATACAGCAGAGAATCATACACATCTACCTTTAAGACGGGTCACTTCCACCAGACACATGTACTGTAAATATACGTATAGCCTACTTTAAGGTTTAATTGTGTCACTCAAAATCCTTGCGAAATAGGTATTCGTAAGATTGGACCTATTTTGATTTGCGTAAGAAAAAGAAATGAAAAATTTGTTGCTTAACCGGAGTTGCATAGCGTGGCAGTGTCCACGCTGGGGCGCTTTAATGCCGTGAAGTCTAACACCCATTAAACCCGATAATCGATTATCCAATGAGCGAATCGATCGTCGCATCGGATGGGATTTCAGCCTATAGAAAACGATCGTGTTTCCTAACACAAACACTCAACCCGTGCGCCGTCTCACGCCTGTTGCGTGCGGATCGATCTTCCAGTTACATTTCATATATTGATTGCGGCTTTTCTGAATATATGAGCGCCGGTTGCGCTTACTTTGTTAATGGTTTAGTTTGCCGACCGTAACGCGTCCGCAAGGTAACTTTGATCTGTTTAACTGAGACAGTATTAGGTCAGCGTGAAGTTGATGAGAGGGGTAGACTTTTGAGTATTAAAACGAAACGCAGACTTTAGAAATGGACAAGATTAAAATGTATTTTTACCGACAACACAAAAAAGACTTTTTTAGATAGCAACCGTCTCTCCTCTACAGTTCGTAACGTTTTTGTTTTTATATATATAAGCAGTCAGTATGACTGTGAACAATCCTTATAAGTAAGATATAGCTAAAGGACAGTCCTGAGTTTTTACCTGCAAATTTCTCCGCGGCATCCGCTTTAAGGTGAGTCGACGCTCCTTTGTGTGTCGCCGTGTAATAAACACCATCAGGCATGTCAACTGAAGAAATGATTCGGACAATTTCGGTTCTAGATAAATTTGTTTTGGCGAAAAGAATGAATAGAAATCAAGGTACACTATAGCTTGTTTCATATATTGATGTAGGTTGAAAATTTGTTTTGGCAACTCGAACTGGGGGGTGGCGTGAGATTTTTAAAACGCTAAAAATAAGGACTATCCCCGCTGATAGACGATGCTTTGCTATCATGATCCGTATCGAAATTATGCCCCCCTATCTTCCCCGAACCAGTTTGCGGATTTTTACTTTTATTTGGCTCCAGATCTGCCTGAGAGCATGATCGGAGTCCATGACCCCCCTCCCCCCATAACATACTGCAGCCATCCACTATTAACTATTTTAACATCTTAATACAAACATCCCTTCTTCCACACTTTTTTTTGCATCAAAGTGGAAGAGAATCCTTCCCGGAAAAAAATAACTTATGGAGAATCATGCGTCACACGTCTGCTCCATCTTCCGCGTGTGTTTTTCTGCATCACATTTTCTCACGCCGCTCCACTCGCATTACTGTACTGTGTTAGAATATATAAAATGAACGTATTAAAAGGGGGCATTATGCCCGTGTGTGTTCGGCGAATAGTGCTGGGATCAATCATGCAAAGTGATTACAAAAAACTTAAGATGTAGTAATAATAATAATAAAATAAGAAAAGTCAGGGAGTTGCTCGTTCAGTTTAATGTCTCTAGCCACCTGTGTCATTCGCCAGCTTTGGTTTTGCTGGATCCGACCCTCAGATGGCGAACCGATGATATACCTTTCTGCTGTGCTTTCTAAGCCTGTGTCGGGCTGTTTCATTGTTTGCCCAAACATCGATCGTACGGGGGGCAGCGGTGGTGGGGTGGCTGAGGAATTGCTGGTGGAAACTGAGCAGTTTTTTCCTCGCGGTGAAGCCCGAAAAGGGATACAGGAGCCCGGAGTGTGGAGGGCCGCGGGTCACGCGTGTGCGGTGTCATTGTTTGGCATGAGTCAGAGTCAGCACAAGCATGCACCGGTCTCCTGGCTGGACACTGTGCGCTGTAACCTCCCCCCCCCTGCTGAGCTGATAAAAGCTTTCTTGGAGGAGCTGTTTAACAGAGTTTTAACGAAGTTAAAACAAAGGGGGCTGACCGATTTGACTGAGGGTAACGCCGCAGAGGCAAATCATTAACTACTCACAGTAAGTCAATTATCACTGAAGCTCATGAGTGCGGCAAGGTTGCTGAGTACATGTTAACATGTTTTTTGTCTTCTTTAACATTGTCAGTTCTTATTTATAACCTTTTTATGTTTTGGTTGATAGTGGTTCAAGTCCTGCAGGTCTCACAAAAAGTCCCAGGTTACTAACCCAATTAGCCTACTTACTCGATTAATCTATGTTGGTTTTTGAATCACTTGATCATTTTAACTATTGTCTTGAGTAATAATATGTGATCTACATGCTGTGTTTGCAAACGCATGAAATAAACTTAATGAGGATTTAAGCACGATTCTTGCACTGTTGCAGCTTCTATACCTGCAGACAGGCAGCCTGTTATAATTTGTTTTCCTTCTGTATGTAACAGATGGCTGCATCTCTGCTTTATCTCTCCGCACTGGTGTTCCTTCCCATGTTCTTCTGCTACCCAAATTCCTTCATGGACCTTGAAGATAACGACCGTAAGTCTGTCTGCATCTGAAGTGTCATTCACCTCCTGGTATGACCCCCCTTCAGCCAGAAGCCTTCTCTCTTACACAGGTCAAGACGACAGCAGTGTGTCGTTCCATTCTTTAGTAGCAGACCGTATATTTATGCATGTGCCACATAATGACATTTTGGTCGATGACGGACTATTTATATGACTGTGGTCTCAAGATTATATTGTAATGGAGCTGAAAAATTCCTATCTCTTAGCGACATTGTAGCCCTCGTAACGTCATCTCAGCTCAGGTGTCTCCCGTGAATCTGATGTAAACAAACCTAATGGGCTGGTACGCGTATGAAAGTATAGCACATACAATTATGTATGTACATGATAATTGATGATGGTAACTACAGTACTGATATATGTATTTACTATACTGTACGTTTTATCGTTATTTTTATCGCTATACCAAACTGTCTAGGTGTGTAGTAGGCTATACCGTCTAGGTTTATCTAAGTGTCGGTATCGCCTAACGATGCATTTCTCAGAAGGCATCCCTGTTAACGATGCATGACTGTGTATCAGTTACTTCCTCTATGATTGTATGGTGAGACACAGTTTCTGACTTTGATTGTGTTTGTTTGTTTGACTGTTAGAGAACAGGACCTCGATCCGTTTCCTGGCGGTGGGAGACTGGGGGGGGCTGCCCTATCCGCCTTTCATCACCCCCATCGAGAAGGCTACAGCTCGCGAGATGGGGAGGGTCGCCGAGCAGATGGGTGCTGATTTTGTTCTGGCACTTGGGGACAACTTTTACTACAAGGGTGTGGATGATGTACACGACCCCAGGTTCCAGGTGGGTGGCCTTTTTATATAATAAAGTGCTATGAATGGAATTTGTAATTATTAGGTCAATTTGCTTTCCATTTCAAGATGTTTGCACTGTTTGTTTTTTGATTTTTTTTTCATGCCATACCTATAGAAATTGACTTTTAAACGTGTGTGTTTGATTCCCTAATAACACTTTATTGTCCTTAATTGTTTATAACGTGCAGCTTTGTTTAAAGACAAAACATTTTAATTAAGCCAGTCACTGGAAATCACTAAACCAACTTTTCTCAGATTGAGTTGCATTAACTTTTAATCCCAAGAGGTGCAATTTATGCTCTGTTTGTCGAAGGGGGTGGGATCCTTTTTATATTAATCTACAAAGTGATTCGTCAAACCTTGTTTTTTGAAAACCGATTATCCACTTTCCTGGCAGGACACTTTTGAACACGTCTTCACGGATCGCTCTCTGAACATCCCCTGGTATGTTGTTGCTGGCAACCACGACCACGCCGGCAACGTAAAGGCTCAGATCCAGTACAGCCGCCTTTCCGACCGATGGTGAGCCCAGACACACTGCTCTGCTTTTGATCTGTACGAGAAAATGGGGAATCTGATTCACGCCTGAAATATTAAATAAGGCATATAGTCTCCTCTGCTTTGTGCCACATCCCTCCTCCCTGAGTCCCGTCACTCAGAAACGGTTTCTTCCCTCATGCCGTCTGACTACTGAACTCTCCGGGACTGATCTGATAAAACACACACACACATACACATACATTCACTTATTATCATTTATTATTTAACTACTATTTACTATCTTATTGTAACTACGTTTACAATTACTTTTATTTATTTATTTATTTATTGCTACTTCATTGCACAGCCAATCTGCACCTTATCAGTATTTGCTTTACTGTGCTGTTTGCACTCGTCGTTGTCACTTGTCCCGTCCTTTTGCACTGGTCGCACAGTTTCTGCACACTGTGTTCTCTACGTTGCTAGGTTGTTATGCGTTAGTCTTTTGTTAATTTACGTAGCACCTTGGTACGAGAGAAGCGCTTTTTCGTTTAACTGGGTACTGTACTCAGCTATGTATGGTTACATGACATTGAAGACCTACTTGACTTGACTAGACCCTGTACAGGATAAATTGTCTTGATGGATGGATGGATGGATTCATTAGTTGCCAAGATTGTCCAGCTCAGCACTGTTTCATCCTGTCTTTCCTGTTGCCTTCCTTCCGTCTCCCCTCCTTGCCCGATTCCCTGTTGTCCCTCCATCCAGGCGCTTCCCCTACTACTACTATGAGCTGAACTTCCGCGTGCCGCGCTCCGACCGCACGCTCACCATCCTGATGGTGGACACCGTGCTGCTGTGTGGGAACTCCGATGACTTTGAGGACCAGAAGCCCCGTGGCCCTGTGAGCGCTGTGGACGCCAACCGACAGCTCCAGTGGCTCCAGAAGAGGATGGCGGCATCCAAGGCTGACTTCCTGCTGGTGGCGGGACACTACCCAGTGTGGTCCATCTCCGAGCACGGCCCCACGGAGTGCCTGCTGAAGAGACTGCGCCCCCTGCTGACCAAGTACAAGGCCACGGCTTACTTCTGCGGTCATGACCACAACCTGCAGGTTTGTCGCGCTGTTTTTGGAAAGGCCGTGATCCTCGATTCAGCTGCACTGCTGCTTGGCACACGTGCATATTCAGTCGGGATGACCCATACCGCTCATTTTCTTTTCAGTCTGATTTGAGCAATCCCAAGGTTGGTGTCGCCAAATTCTTCTCCTTCCTCCCCCCATTATAAGCGGCCCTGTCTGATAGTAATTTATGTCCAGTTCCCTATAATAACATAAACATTTAGGTTAAAAGCAACAATATTTTTTATGTCAGGAGCGATTCTCCAAATGAAACTTTCGGTATCGAAAGAGTTTATCGATCTGGACATATTTAGTTTCCAGGTCAATGTGTGGATTATAATTGTCTCCCTAAAGATGGCTTCACTTTTCTGAAGTGCACTTTTTTTGCGTTAGACTTACAGGAAATGTACTGCGACTTCGTGTGCATTGCAGTGTGATCACGCTATCAGCATTTTCATTTTTTACACAGATGTCTGCTCCGTGCCATGGTTTGCCTTGCACTGCATTTAACTTTATGAAGTTGCATAGTGCGACTGCCTGTATTTTGTGACCTTCCAGTATATATGTGTGTGTTATGGTGGGTTGTTTTATAGCTCTTATGTGCAGATAAATTCACCAGTGGCACTTGTGGGGAAAGGGGTTTGGCAAATTAACATTATATTGCACATATGAGACCGTTTGAACCTCATGGGTGTTGCAGATAAAACAGGCTCTTTCAGTGTTTCCAACTATCTGGCCAGTGTTTAACGCTGATGCTGATAAGACCTTATGTCACAATCGTCCTTCCTTAACAGGCCTCCTAACCGCTCTTTCCTTCTTGATCACGATTGCAACACATTTTTTGCCAAATAGCCAACATGGTCACTGACGGTGCTGACAAGACAATAACTGGAACACATCTGATTGCAAAACCTAAAGCAGCGCTGCTGCGAGGGAGAAAAACGCCAAACGCTAAATTATCAGAAATCATTTGACTGTTTTTGTGGAGTTCAGAAGGGTTGGCGGACTCAAATGTGAATATTCCTCTTTTCTGTGAGTCCTCCTCTGTCCTGCCTCCTAAGCGTCTCCTCCCCCCCCATTCCTCTCCGCAGTACCTGAAGGAGTCCGATGTGGGCTACGTCGTCAGCGGGGCGGGGAACTTCATGGAGGCCGACACCCGTCACCGGAACCACGTGCCCTCCGGTTCCCTGAAGTTCTTCACCGGCCAGGAGTCCACCCTTGGAGGTTTTGTGCACGTGGAGGTCACCAAAAAGCAGATGGACATCACCTTCATCCAGGCCAGGGGGACCTCCTTGTACCGCACCACTCTTCCTCGGCGGGACTTCGACGACTCCGTCGCCAGCCCCTAGCTCAGAAGATAACATGCAGGACTTCCCACTTTCAAGTCCTGCTTCACACACATTTCCCCGCCTCATATGTAGCTAATATAGGAGATGCTTGCGTTCCCATATTATTAGGAGTAGGAATCTGGTTAGTGGCTTAAACCAATAGATTTACTGCTTTTGTTTTATAATAAACCCAATTAATTAAATTCAACATTAGGGGGGGCAGTTCCCTGAACATGTGGCATTTCATAACTGAACACGTTTTGAATGGATTTTTCTTTGTATGTTTTTAAATTTGACGTTTTTAAATTCTGTTTCTTTTCATCCAAGTGATTAAAAAAACACACAGGACCAAACTGCTGATGAAAGCTTAGTGAGAGCATGAAACCAAAAACGCAGTCGGTGGTCCTGCAGGACTTTCCTTTAGCTAATCTTTGCTCTACTGAAAGTAATTTTTCCAAGATGATGTAAACTGATGCCTTAAGCCACGAGTGTCAAACTCCAGTCCTGGGGGGCCAGAGCCCTGCACGTTTTTGGGTTCCCCCTCATTTAACACACCTGATTCAACTCCTTGTGCTAATTACCACACAGCTCTTGAGCTGCATCATTTATGGTGGAACAGGGAAAGAACTAAGCTACACAGGGCTCCGGCCCCCCAGGACTGCAGTTTGACACCCCTGCCTTAAGCTGTATCAATTCAATCTGGGTATGGCATTACCTCTGTAATGACAAGCGTTTTTGTAATGAACCACAAATGATGTGAAACTGTGTCTGAATAAAGTGCTTCAGGCATTGTTTTGAACTGGATTTTAAATTGTGATACTCATGTTTGGTACCACACCTTAAGCAGAATATCCCATGGTATAGATGCTCTTAATATTGTCTTATATGAAACTTGCTCTGGGCTGAACTGTATGCTCACTGACATATTAAAACCCTTAATCTTGTGAGGTTGTATGGGGGACAGTTTACATTATAGTAAAGAATCATTCCTTAACACAAAATTTAAGGCCTACTGATCTCCGCTTGTCTAGCCCCCCCTGTCTCATTTATCCTTTATTAAGGTGTCATTACACTGAATAATTACAATAATGTAACAATACCCCACATCGGTCTCTTGTCCTGCTCACTTGCCTTATAGTACAGTGGGATCTTTCTGAACGTTTGTGGTGACCTAGTTAAGAGGAAGCTCTGCGACCAACATGCAAGAGGAAGCTGGAACCCAGATTCATTTTTTTGCAAAACAGAGACTAAATGGTTTTGCTACAAAGAAGTGTGACACTGGAACTGAAGCTCTGAAAGTTTATGGTGATTAAAAGACCTAGTTAAGAGGAAGCCCTGGGACCAACATGCAAGAGGAAGCTGGAACCCAGATTACATTTTTTGCAAAACAGAGACTAAATGATTTTTGCTACCAAGAAGTGTGACACTGGAACCGAAGCTCTGATCTGTAAAGAATGTACAGGTGCCGCACTGCAGCCTCTGAATCACTGTAGCCTCTGAATCACTGCATCACTGCAGCCTATGAATCACTGCAGCCTCCTTTCAGTCTCCACCGTATCCACAAGTGCTTGATCGGTTATTGCCCATCATGCTGGTGTAGAGAGCAGTTATGGTACAAAGGGTTAAGAGAAGCTGTTTGTCATTGTCCACAAGGCCACTGCACTGTATTCATCTACAGTTATGCTTGGCATCAGGCTGATGAATGTCTACCTGGAAGTTTTATATATGAATTTAATATTGAGAGAAGTATGTTAAAAGCAATTATTAACTGCTTGCAGCCTAAAATGGTGCGGAGGGTTAGTGTTATGGGAGCCGAGAACTGGAATGATAGGTTTTGATACCGGAGAGGGAGGGGGCTGAGTGGGTTACGATACTGCGCCAGTAATCGGAACATCACTGGCGCTAACCCAGTGTGAGCAGAGTGATTTCACCTGGGAACCGCTGACAAAATAGTGACTGTGTGATCACTCTTTCTTGGTCAGGGGACAGGAAAGACATTTTTGAAAAGCAGTCAGCTATTATTTTTCCAACCTGTAAAATAAATCATTTGTATTGCACTATACAGAAATGGCAAGTTAGTGCAGGGACTGGCTGGTCCTTCTTTCTCAATTATGCATCACTTTGGGTAAAAGTCTGTGCTGACTTAAATGAAATATGGCGTAAATCAAAGAAATGCAACACAAACATTCCATTCCCTAACTATATTTCTATTTCCTGCAGTACTGTAGCTTTGAAACCAGCAGAGGGCACTAGTTGACTTTATAATCTCTCTATTATGGAAAAAGTTAGATCCCCGGTCCTGGGGAGCTACTATCCAGTTGGTTTTCAATCCTACCTGTCTTCTGATGAGCCACACCTCTTCCTGGTATTTTCCCGAGGCTTATCAGAAGCCAGGCAGGATAGAAAACCAACTGGATAGTAGCTCTCCAGGACCGGAGTTGGAGACCCCTGAGTTAGGTAATTAAAACTGGTTACAATGGATTTTTTTTCTGCTATACTTCACATATGTTTTTAGTATCTAAATCAGGTTTGGTGATTTGCCAACAATTCCTAATTACAACAAGGAACCATGGCACCGGACTAATGAAAAAACAGGTGAATTAGTTCCTGATTTACAAACATTGTCGTATCAGAGCTGAATGAATCATGTAATACTGTCATGAATTAGTAGGTGGATAGAGATCCATGTGACACAGACACGATATTAGAGAATAAAAGCACTGAAATCCACAGTGGGTGAGATTATTGTGTGATGTCAGTCACAATGGGCTTCAACAGCTAATTTCTCCCATCAGTAATCGACAGGAATCTAAATAGTTATCAAAATGTCATTCTGATTTGTTCATGAGCTGATGCAGCAGTGATGTCATGGCAAAGCAGTGTACCTGCTTCTGAAGTGGAAGGTTGCCAACAGACAGGCTTTAGCGGACTTTGACTGCATTTTAACATCCATTAATGCACATCCAAGCAAGTTAAGGATGGAGTTGCAGAGGATGGGCATTGGCAGATCATTTGAAATCATTTTTTGACACAGCACCTCTGACAATAGGCACTTAATGACCTACATTTAAGATACGTTTAAAGGCTTGCGAGCCTCTCTTCCCAAAGGGCTGACTCCTGTTTGAAGAATATGCTCTACATGATGGTTCATTCCAATTAAGCCTCAATGTTGTCATGGAAACTGCAGTTGTGTCTGGGAGCTTGTACAGGTTGGTGACATCAGCAATGTGGCGTGGAGGAAGCAGGGACCTGATGAAAAAGGGTAACTCTGTTAGGGAATAATGTGAGCAGAGCAGATTGATGTCATTGTCACCATCAAGACCCTCCGATGGGATTTGCTGACAAAATAATGGCTGTGTGATCACTCTTTCTTGGTCAGGGGTGTGACATGTATTTCTTTTGCTACTTATCTTTAATTAAATGAGAGGACAGGAAAGACATTTTTGAAAAGCAGTCAGCTGTTCTAATTTTTCCAACCTGTAAAATAAATCATTTGTATTGCACTATACAGAAAATATCCAATGTTAAACAGGTAAAAATATTGAGAAGAGACCAAAAGCTGTGTATGATCTCTGTGCTGCAGTAGTGGGAGTTTGTGTATGTTCTCTGTGCTGCAGTAGTGGGAGTTTGTGTATGTTCTCTGTGCTGCAGTAGTGGGAGTTTGTGTATGTTCTCTGTGCTGCAGTAGTGGGAGTTTGTGTATGTTCTCTGTGCTGCAGTAGTGGGAGTTTGTGTAT